TTGGAAGGGTGAACAACAAAAAAAAAAAACAAAAAAAAAAAAAAAAAAAAATCCAATTAAAAAACAACAACATCGTAATTGTCACTTCGGGCTGCAGTGTGAACGTAGCCTTAGAGAGAGAAACGTGTGCTAGCTTCAAGCTTTCTTATTCAGATCTGACCAATATTTAAAAAACATGTTCAAACATAGTCCAAACACCTAGAAACTAGATTTATATATAGGTTTACAATCAGATAACCTCAGTGTTGTTAGGTAGCTATAGGGTTGTTGGACATCAGTATGTTTTCTAAATACTAGGGATTCTCTTGATGCCTTTTTCTCTTATGAGCTTCTGAAGCTGTTTGTTTATATTTTAACTCCCTCTCCCCCGCCTCCTGCTTTTTTAAAATGTATTTATTTTTCCTTCCAGAGTACAACATTTCCGCCGCAGCCATCTCCATATTCAGCCTGGCCTTTATGATCCTCGGATCTCTGTGTCTGCTCGGGTCGTGCACTGGTAAAGGCAAAGGAAGGGACTACCTTCTCAAACCCGCCGGAATGTTCTTTGCGTTCGCAGGTCGGTTCCGTTCACCTTCTCCAGCAGCCTTCACAGTCCACACACACCTAAAGTTTTACGCAGACCATCCCGCTCACACCCTACGCCTCTCTTGTCTTCAGGCATCTGCGCTTTCATCTCGCTGGAGGTGATGCGTCAGTCGGTGAAACGCATGATCGAGAGCGAGGAAACTATTTGGATCGCGTACTACTACGCCTGGTCATTCGCCTGTGCCTGCTCTGGCTTCGTCCTCCTCTTCCTGGCTGGCATCGCGCTCCTCGTCCTCTCCATGCCTCAGATGCCCAGGAACCCCTGGGAGACGTGCATGGACGCCGAGCCGGAGCAAGTAGAGTGATGCAGGCCAACCGAACGCAGCGGTGAATCTCTTTCTTGCGGTTTTCCAGTAAAAAAAAAAAAAGAAACATGTTGTTGGTGTTTGCGCATCATAGTCGTCTCTTCGAACAGCAGTTGAATGAGGCCTTTTGTGAGAAGGCTAATGTGTTTTCATGACCCTTATGCACGTCCGGAGTGAACACAACCGGAAACACAATTCACATGCTGTTTTTTTGTGTACAGCTCATCATTTACCGACATCCTGTTTGTTTGTTTTGATCAATTATACCCATGAATCATTCTTGATGTGTCCATGGTCTTACACCCATATATGTACCTTTTTTTTTACAAAAACGGCCCTAAGGATTTTTCTAGAACAAGTCTGACGTCACAGTAATTTCAGCTTCAGCGCCACATAATATACACCTTTACAGGAAAGGTTATGTACTTTTAATGGCGTCGCCATTAAAATGCTCACCGACAATGTCAAATAGGCATCTCAAGGATTATTCAAAGAAGCTTTACAGATAAGAGAATGGAGGGGAAAAAAGCTGACTCTAAGAAGAAGTTTTCGTGTGTGTCTGTGTGTGTGTGTGTGTGTGTGTGTCAGACTGAATGCTAAACACTCCCACAGTCTGCAGCACCAACCATGTTGGAAAAGGTTCAGCTTTAGCAGGTGCACTGCGCATACATACCAGGCCTTTTACTGATCCACGACCCAGACAAAATGAAGAAAGTTTTATTTATACCAAACACGATTAACCTTCTTAGCATTCAAATCTACAGTAATTATATTTATGTAATGTGTGCTGGTCTGTTTTTTGTGGGAAAAAAACAAAAAAAAAAACAGCAGATTATTTATACCCTAGAAGATCAGGATATGCAGAAAAAGAAGTGCTGCAAGTGACACTTTGTCCCTTAAAGGGATACTTTGGATGTTTTGAAGTGAAGTAAACAAATCGTCAGAGTTGTGATAAGCAAGCAGTTTGTTAGTCGTACAAACAGTTTAGCTCGAACTACCTTACCGTTGTTTTAAAGTGCTACAAACCCACTAAAATAGTGCAACCTTCACTGCTCAGAGGGGTTCTTTCCTTGCGTAGATTCTCAGTAACCTTACTTCAGGGGTGGAGAAAAAGAAACTGGTTTATTTTGTTTTTTATGAACACAAAACTTTCTGACATTCAAGAAATGTAACCAGAAACTTGTACAGACAATGTGGATGATGTGACTGAGAAAGCCTCTGCATTCGTTTTGACTTTGCTCGACTTCACACTGGAAATGCTTGGGGATCACATGCGTAAAGGTGACCAGTGTGAATGTTAACTTAACCTTTTATACAGAACTCCGGTGTAACGTCAGAAACTGACTGCATCGTTCTGTCAGAGCTGCAACAACCAGAATCTCAACCTTGCTCAGGGCAAAAAATGTAGTTATTTTCAGTAAGATCTACTTCAGCTTGATTTGTTGCTCTCTTAATCTTTGCTTAAAAATGAACGGTATGCAGCTGTAGGAATGTGTTTGGATGAAATCATTCATTTATATTAGTTCTCTAAATTGTTGCTGCTGTGTTATGAAATAAAATGGTCACATTTCAGGGTAAATGTTACCATAATGTGATGCGTTTCTTTTTCTCTATACAGCATGCAGTTGAATAAGCTTTGGAATGGCGTCGATTCTGTATTTCTTACTCGTTACAAATTTCTAAGGAAATAAAATAAATAAAAAAATTGACACATTTTGTATCACTTTGTACGGATGCGAGTTCTTTCAGACCCATATTTGCTGCTGCATGTCTAAGAGTCATCGGATGTTTCAGATCAGGATGTTTCAGGGTTTTTCTAAAAAGCCAAAAAAAAAGAAGAAAATCAAGAAAACTGTCGAATTTGCATTTTTTGCTTCAAATTATCATAATTAAGGAAAACGAGGAAGAAACACAAAATTGTGTATTCAGTCTTCGAGATGCAGCTTCTTCTTGGATCTGCGGTTTCCAACCTTCTGAATCACAGCGCCCGTCCACTCAGCTCCTTCAGACTAGCCAGTAGCAATTAGCAAACACTTGTTGAAGCTGCACATCTACTGAGCTCATTATCCGAACTACCTTTCCCTGCAATGCTGGTAAAAACATTGTTAAAGGGTTAATAGAGGAGCTCTTTCTGAAGGCAGAGTTTCAGAAAGAACAGGAGTTTTTAAAGAGACAGGGGCCCAATTTCAAGGCATGTAATTACAATGTGAAATGTCTTTCAAGTCATATCCTCCTTACTACCAGTAGTTCATTTTTGTCCTCTGTAGAATATCTCCCACCCCCTGCATTCTACTGAATGAATTCATTTTGGTATCTGTAGGGGACATTTAGGGCTTTTCAATGATGCCACATGTGAAGGGGTGGGACTTTTGTATGTACCTTTTTCTAATTCATAAAAATGGCGTTCAGCAGTAATAACACATTTTATGGGACAAGACAAAGTAAGTGCATAAGACCTTTTATTACCTTACAAAGACTGTGGGACTTAATAAAAATGGTGATTGGACAATATTTTGTTTCCTGGTAGGAGGATATTTGATACATACAGCACTTTTATAACTGTGAAGGCAACAGTTACTTGATTGTGCTACAAAATAACACCATGTGCCTGGAAAACGCATTATACCGCCCCTTTAAGAAATGAGTTGGCCAACTGTAAGCAGGAATGTGTTTTTTAAAGATCTTGAGTCCTGGTTTAGATTATAAATTCAGTAGAAAAGTTATTTGCACTATTTTACTTTTGTTTGAACACTTATGGCAAAGCCAGACTACTGCTGGATGTACACTTTGTGAGATTTTCAGTCTCCCAAACAGCTTTATGTCTCGCACAACTCGAGCACAAAGATGCCTTTATGTCGCCTCGTTCCGCACAGGCAGAGTGAGAAGAAGGAAAAAAAAAAAAGAGAGAAAACTCGAGCAGTTTCAATAAAAACACTTTAATAGAGAAACAATTAAAAAAAGAAAAGAAAACCTTTAAAACACAGCCTAAATCAGTTCTCATAACAACCACCAGTTGAAATGAATATTCATTACTTTGAACCCACGAGGGAGAAACCGATGGGGACTGGAAAGCAGGGAGGAACAGGTGCGCCATTGATTCACTGCAGCGGGAGGAGAACAGAGGAGGGTCAACGGATAACAGGAGGAGACGGCGCTTATAGGAGGCTGAACACAGTGCTCTCTACTGGCCGGGCAAAAGGTTGCTCCCTTACCTTTTCTCTCTGTCTTTTATGTTTTTTTTTTTTTTATTGTGAGCCACTCACAAACTTTACAGCTGGTTTCACATCTAGGACATACCATGAAATGTGGTGTAATGTTGGGAGCTTTCAAATCCAACTCAGATTACTTCATCATATTAACGAGGTACACACAGAGCAAAGAATTGAAATATTAGAAACCAGGAAACAAAAACAAAAAAATTGCTAACAAAATCCCTTTAAAATGTCTTTGGCTCAATCTCTTCTGTCTTAATAAATAGAACTGTAGCTAAATAAAAAAAAAGCAGTGAAATATTAGTATTGCACAACTTTAGAGATTAGCCAACGACTTCAAAACAAAAGAGATAAAAAAAATAAAAATAAAAAAAACGGACTCCCCGCACGATCCCCAGGGAGCAACCTCAGCTTTAGCCCTTCAAACTGCAGGAGGAGGAAGAAAAAGGAAGGGGGGGAACATATACGACCATTCAATTTTTTTTGATCGACACATTAGTAAAAGTAACAGTTTTATGTATAATGTCACAAGTTATTTGTACACGTCAAATAAAAATACCAGAAATTTAACTCTGCAGGTTGAAAACAAAAAAACGTGTTTTTTTTTTCTTTACCGTTTTTCATCCAGAAATCATTACAAACCGATAGAAACGGGGGATCAAAACCCAACAAGGTCATCGCAACATGCAACAAAAGCAGCAAAAAAACAAAAACAGATTAAACATTGAAGAATGAATCCAGGTGTTGATTGTTGTACAGCTGTGGTGAGAAAACATGACAGGACGAATCCAACAAGGTGGACTTAAAAAATACATATTGTACAGTAAATTAGGTCGTCTTAAAAAGGCGCAACAGAAATTCCCCTCTGCTAAACAAGCCGGACAGCTTCTTAAAAAAACACAGAAAAAAACAAAAACAAAAAGGAAAAGTAAAACCTACAAAGTTACAAGGTGATGCAACTACTGTTTCTAGATTTTCTCTTTATTTTTTGTGAATTTGCATAATTAAAAAGGGCGTACCTCTTCATTGATCAGCTTCTACAAAATCGAGGCGCTCCCAAAGTTCTCATTTGTAAATACATACAAAATGTATATTTACAAGTACGTCTTTATCTGCTAAATTTAAAAAAAAGAAAAAAAGATCAGGATCGTGTCATTTAAAATGTCAAAACTTGAAAAGAAAAGGATACGGAGCTCAACATTTAAAACATCTTCGTTTCTGGCTGTAAGGCTTTTTTTTTAAAGAGAAAGGAAAAACATCAGAGACTAACTGCAACAATATAAAGCCACGATTACCAATGAAGAGATTTGTTAAATTTATCAGTTTGCAGGAAAACCAGCAACTCGAATTCAAACTAAACTTGAAGATTCGGTTTTCAAGAGCGAGCAGGAAGAAAGAGCAAAGTAATTTTCAGAAGAGCATCGATCAGCTGCTGGAGCAGTGATATACAAATCTGATTAAATCAAAGAAGTGGGCCATCTGTTTTTTTATGTTTTTTTTTATGTAAATCATGACTTCCATAACATCATTCCTGTTCAATTATGCAGATCTTAAAAAAAACATACCAACAGTCAAAGGTTTTTGAACAAACTATCCACCTCTCTCTCTCTTTTTAGGAGGGGAGGTCAAGAAAAAATACATTTTTGTATTGCAGAGAAATAAAACTCAAGCTTGGAAAGCATACGTCTTCCTCAAAATAACAGAATCCTCTAATAGAACAAAAACTTAAAATGACCTTCTGGAAACTACAGGAAAAAAATCTGCTAAACGAAGCTGCTCTCGTTTCTCAGGGTCACGTTTGGTAAAATAAAAAATAAATTAGTTTTTGGATGGAAATTTTTAAGCAAATGC